GATGAAGTGGATCAAGGCTGGAGAGTCGACGTGAAAGGGCAAACGGAACGCTGGGTTGAGTCCATGCCATAGAGATCCTAGAATATTAGTTTGGCAGGTCGATTAATCAATCAGAATAGCATTACGACGTCGTTGTCATTCGAGTGGATCTCGGCGTGTTCACCCATTCTTATTACCTAGGTAGGCATATGCTTACAGGCTCTTCCGAAAAATCGGGACAGCAATGGCCGTAGAGTAGCATTACTAAATTCAATATGGGACCAGCGACTGCCGAGCGGGCCAATGGCGGCGGTTCAAGACCGATTGATTCCAAAGCGCATGGCCGATTTGGTGCATCGAACCATGCGATGAGAACGGGGCCGCAAGGTTGAAAATCTACAAGGGGAATACGGCCCGTGGCTTGTTAAAATTCCGACCAGGACCATTGTCTCTTCTGGGCATCCTATCGATAAATCGGGCAACGAAGCAGTGGAACGACTGGGATTGAGGGCCACCGTGAATTCCTGGCACGACGATATAAAGAAAAGATGGTTTCCCGCTTTGTGGCGGCGCGGACGGGCTGAAGCTAGCTGGGGACCTTTTTTTTCTTGGTGCTTGTCATTTTTCCAAGGAGGGGAGGGAAAAAGCGAACCCGTCGTGTCTTATTTCCCCTTTTCCCTTTCTCCTTTCTTCAAAGACGGGAGGGCGGCTGAGGCATCATGACGGCCGCGCACGGCGTCATTGCCATTCTGGAGTCGACGTATAACAGCCTGGATCTGGACAGTATTCTGAGCTTGTATGCGGACGACGCCAAATTGACGGCCCACTGTGAGTCCCCTTCTCTTTTTTTGGCGAACAGTTGATTGCGCAAGAGCTTTCATTTTGCTGGAGGGACGTGGTCGGGGGTGGATTAATAGCTGACCTTTTTGTGTTGCTCAAGTATTTGAGCTAGTGGGGTTGGACAAGGTGCAGATCCGGGCGTTTTACGCCGACCTGTTCGAGTCGAATGGCGACATCGAGTTCGTGACGCGGTGTATAAGCGGAACGCCGGATTTGGTCATTTGGGAGTGCGACGTGCGGTGCACGGCGAGGAAGAGCTCGCCTGCGTTGGGGATCGCGAGGGGAGATGCCGTGGTGATGAGGGGGGTGTCGCTGCTGACCTGGAGGGACGGGCTGATTGCGGAGCAGAAGGATTATTTCCACGTTACGAGGAAGAGTTAGTAGGAAGAGAGGACAGAGATGGGAAAAGAAGCATTTCATTGCGCCTCGAAGGGGGAATGAAGAAAGAGAGGGGGCATGATGGCCGAGCGAATTCAACGGTTTCTGAAGTGAAGCTTTTTGTTGAAGCCGTGTCGCACGCCATTCGCAACGGGTCATGCTACCTCTATCTGTCTATCTATTATAGACACTGGAGATACCTTGGCATTGAACTCGTGGGAAAAAAAGGGTTCCTTGGAACGAAAGCGTCTTCCGAAGCTATTTTGAATCCGGGATAAGAGCGATGATGTGGTGAAAATCTATTGCACCCGCTGCGGCTCGGGGATTCTGCCAAGAGCGTGAATGGCTTGAAAGGAAACGCCGGTGCGCGAAGAGAGCAAAGATGTCAGAGTACGAGTCTGGCGAAGCTTACGTCGAACGAGATAAAATACGATAATAATGCATTGCATGTAGACGGAGAAAGTTGACTTGAAATACACTCCAGGCAGCGATCTCGGGTATTTTTTGGTGTCTTACGGGTGCTGGCGGTCATTGTACGCAGCAGGAGCCGTGTGGTGGTTGCGACTTCATTTTGGACGTTTGAACAACATGGAAGGTATTCAATACGCAGTACATAAGTGCACGTTATTGGTCACTTATGGATGTTAATGAAAACATTGCAAATTGTTTAGGTATAATCGCTAATTCCGTCTTCTTACCATTGACTGGAGGACCCGAATCAGAGGTATAAGATGCATACAATTGAAAAACCTAAGCTGGAGAGATATAGACCAACATATTCCCCAAAAGTCGCCGATATAATCACAATATAGCCGATGGGATAATCGTTTAGCCGTCTCGCTACTACATAGAAAATTATTTGTTGACTGTAGCAGATGATGCACGGGTATTAATGTGCTGATTCAATGAATAGCCGGTCTCTTCCAGGCGAGGATCAAGAGATGTTCTACGCAGCAACTACGAGATGCGCAGCAATGACGTCAAGGATAATAACTGCCTGATACCAATTTAGCTCTGACACTCGAACAGAAGGAATCATGAGGTATCAACCAATGACTTCTAAGTACCTAGGCACATGGGACTTAGATAAGGAATTACAAGAGAGATATACCTATATGGAATATTTGATGCTTTCTTGCTCTGCTACCAGCAACAGCACTGTTACATACAGTGGCTGTACCTACAAATAGAGATATAGAGTTATAGACGGAGTTAATATTGGCAGAGCCAATAGCAATGTCTCGCAGCAGCTGCTAGAAGAGTTCTTCGCAAAACATACGAGCAGGATTCACAGCCAATCTCCTTTCCTCCATGCTGTGCGCTAGTCTGCTTCTAGCCTCCCCAGAACGGACTAGGGCGCAACCGCCTGCGAAATTGACGTCGGTGTTTGTGCGCCCAAAAAATCCTCGTGACAGCCTGTTTCTGCTTCCCGAGCAGCCATTACTTCATCCTGGTCGTTTTGAACTAACAACAGGACACGCGACTAGACCAAGGAGACGGGTCTCTAGCCCAACTTTTGTTTCTCGCGAGCGTCATTGCCTCTCGCATTGATTCCCCTTTGTCGCAGCAACAGCCTGTTTTGGAGTTAATTGGCCTTTTGCATCTTCCCAACAATATCAACGTCAGGCAAGCTCTCTCTTGCAAGCTTCGTGTCCAGCCCGATCTAAGCCGATGCAATCTTAATACCCAACCGACCGAGACCAAACGAAACCGCGACGAGACGGAGGTGTTGACAATTGCGACAGCACGAAAAAGAAGCAGAAAAAGAAGCACAATAACAGGAAACATCCGGTCAAGATGGTGTACGTGCGGCAGCACAACCTCCCGGCCTTGAAGGAGTACAAGTACTCTGCCGTGGACCGGTCCCTGGTGTCGAAATACATTCTCAAGCCCTTCTACACCAACTTTGTCATCCACTGCTTCCCGATGAACATGGCGCCGAACCTCATCACTTTGACGGGGTTTTCGTTCGTCGTCCTCAACTTCTTGACCATGTTGTGGTACAACCCCACCTTGGATCAGGACTGCCCGAGCTGGGTCTATTACAGCTGGGCCATTGGTTTACTGCTCTACCAGACATTTGACGCCGTTGACGGTGCTCAAGCGTGAGTTTTTTTTCTTTCTATTCTCAACGACATCTGGCGAGTCAAACAGCAGCAGACACTAATGTGTGGTGGATGAATCTCTGCAGACGACGAACGAAGCAATCCGGACCCCTCGGCGAGCTCTTTGACCACGGTGTCGACGCTCTAAACACGACTCTGGAAGTCCTCATCTTTGCCGCATCCCAGAACATGGGACAGGGCTGGAAGACTGTGGCCACTCTTTTTGCTTGTAAGACTTTTCTTCTCTGCCCCTCTTCCACTTCCCCTCCATGAGTCCCACTCAAATCTGCAAGGTGAATCAGAAGAGGAACAATCAGATGCTAACCGAGGTGACCAGCTCTCCTTACCTTTTACGTCCAGACCTGGGACGAGTACCACACAAAGACTCTTACTCTCGGCATTGTCAATGGGCCCGTTGAGGGTGTGCTCATTGTTGCCTCTGTCTTCGCCCTGACCGGCTTCATGGGAGGCGCGCACATCTGGCAGCAGAGTGCCCTCCGCGCCATTGGTGTTCCCGCGTCTCTGGGCATTCCCGAATTCATCTATGAGCTCACCTTTACCGAGTGGTACATGGTTCAGGGCACCATCGTGACCAGCTTCAACACTTTCGAGTCGTCTGTCAACGTCATCCGAGCTCGCCGTGCCCGCGGTGACCGTTCCCGAGGTGCCCTGCTTGGTCTTGTCCCGTTCTTCGCTGTCTGGTCCCTCATCGTTACGTATCTCTATCTGCAGCCAAACATCCTCCACCATCACCTGATTCCCTTTTCCCTCTTCGCCGGCCTAGTCAATGCCTATAGCGTCGGACAGATGATCACTGCTCACCTTACCAAGATGCGTTTCCCCTACTGGAACGTCCTCGGCGTGCTCATCGGCTTTGGCGTTGTTGATTCCATTGGCCCGGTCCTGCTGAACAACTATGGCGTTGGATGGCCCAGCTCTCTGGGCGACGATATCTATCAGACCGCCTTTGTGTTCCTCATGCTTGGCACTGCAGTTGGTGTGTATGGAAGCTTTGTTGTGGACGTCATTGTTACCATCTGCGATTATCTTGACATCTGGTGCTTGACGATCAAGCACCCCCATGTCGAGGCGGCTGTGTCGAAGCCCAATGGTATCAAGAGCCACTAAAGAAAGATTTAGTATTGTATGAAGACGTTCATACCCAAACGTGCTAGTTGGGTATGCTGTACAATGCGGCACCATGTGATTTGACTGCGGAGAAAATTATTCAAAAGGAGGCCAAAAGAGAGAAAAAGAGTGTTGAAGAAAGGGGGAAAATAGGAAGAAAAGAAAAAACTTTGTAACGCGATATGACGGATTATACAGACTACACAGGCAACGGGACCTACATACGGAAGACAGATGAGGGGGATTTTTTTATATAGACAAGTGGCGGATATTTTCTTTCAGCACGAGGTTTAGACTTATTTGATGTTAGCTACTCACCTGAGCTTTTAAGATGATGGGCGTTTTTAGGATCCTTTCCTCCCTTTTTCGTTCCTTTATCTTTCAAGCTTTCTTCTGTGTACTATATATATGCCGGGCCTGCTGAAAGACTGGGTATACAGCCAGATGCACCTAACATCAAAAGTTAGACCGCAATTTATCAACTTTTCCATTGCGATACTCGATTCTGCTAATCTAAAAAAAAGAGGGTAAGAAGAGAATCGAAATTCTAGCCAAAAAAAGAAACGATGTCTCCGATACTGGGAATCGAACCCAGGGCTGCTCGGTACACGTAATGAGAGCGAGCGATGTTAGCCACTACACCATATCGGATGTGCTGATTGAACGATGTGACAGTGAGGGCTAATTCCTCCTCAAGAATTCCTAGATCATTGACGATCGAAGCAACTCATTTCCCTTTTTCCTTTCCTCTTCATGCTTGACATGTGCTTCATGCAACCTGCTGACGCCGTACTATGCCCAAACTCGCATGGCCACCGTGACATGGATTCTCTTCCTTTCCGACGGGTTCTTGCCCAATGCAAATCATCGCTACCTAGACAGAGACAAGGCAACCAACAGGCTACCGGAATCAAGGCAGCCGAGTCAGCAGGGCAGACTTGGATCCAGACCAAAAGATCTCCAGGTCGTTCCTCTGAGAAAAGGTACCAGGCCAATCTGACCCATGCCCATGCCATGCTGATCGCCGTGTTAGTAGTTTAATAGCTCGGCCCCCGCTCTCGAAGGATTCGGTCGGTCCCGGCTCAAAATAAACGTCCTTAGTCAGGACAGGCCGTGGAAGCCAGGCACATTCGTCCCCTCGGGCCTCAACGAGATCCTGAGATAACAGAGAGTCGCAATGGCCATTCAGCCCTACGAGCATCCGGAGCCCGGGACGATGGATCTTCGGAGCGTGAGTCACTGCACAGAACAAGGTTGAGATGAGATGATGCACAATCCTTCAAGTATACACGTATTTTTCTTCTTCCTCACTTGGAAGGGAAACAGTGCTCCCAGGTTTCTCGTATCAAAAATATCTGTCATGCCCTCCCCCCTCCTTCAAATAGATCGAGATGGCTGTGGCTTTGACCTGTGAAGATGCCTAAGGGGCATGGGTTGGGGGGTTTGATTTGATGAAAATAATATTCCCGCAGCGCAACCATGCGCTCCGTTCTTGGGTACGGAAATTGGGGCTTCCGGAAGAAAATAAGCCTGCGCCGTGGATTTTAACCCGCAGGACTGACTGGGCTCTGACAGTTGGGGAAGGATTCGAGGTCGGCGATGACTGGGATGGAAGGGGAGGTGGGTTGCCAGGTTCTCTTTCTTTCTCCTTCGACTTCTATCTCTGTGATGTCCTTTGCTCTTCTGAAGTTGTCTCTTTCGCCCGCCTGTTGACCCCATTCTCTCTTTTTGTCGTCTGATGTGGATACAGCAGGAAAACAGTTTTAACGTATTCCGAAATGATCCACAACTTTCGAAGGAAAAACTTCAAAAAGCGGTCCCCGTCCGCCCACCTCCCCGGTTGAAGAACGCAGCGAAACCCGAGGCTTGCAGGATCCAAGTCAGCAAGCAAAGCGGGCTGGGGCCGCTCCAAATCTCAAATCAGTCAGACTGAACCAACTGCCGCATTTCAAAAGGTCTGAAGGGACCCCCTGCATGTCGTCAAGCTCGTCAACGACCAGCACCTTGTCCAGCCACTAGGAGGGGTTCGCCGTCTTATTAGCGGCACTAGTTGCAGGGTCGGGATGAGAAGGCGGACATTTGGCGAGTGAGCCCGACCAGAGAGAGGGAGAAAACAAGTTGGAGAAGAGAGACAAGACGCAGTACTCGTACTGTAGCAATGGCGGTCTGGTCCTCCGAGCAGCAATTGCGCGTGTGGCGCCACAGGCTTGGCCGGGCGTTTGGGGAAATCCACGAACCCGATGCCGTTCTCTATTGCCTCAGCCTAGCCCCAATCTAAACGGAGCAAAGCGAGCGACCATGTGGCTGCTACCCGCGCGGTAATCCCTAAGCAGCGGACGAGATGCTTCCTACGCGTGCTAGCATCATCTTGGGACCGTCGCAGCCCCCTCAGCTCAGGCCTCAAGAGGCTGCCGGGTCTCCGGCCAGGCGTCGCTGTCATTCGCCCGTTTTCGTGGGTTGTCTCGTGTTTCTTCCATTTCTCTTCGTTTCCTGTTCTCGTCCTGATTCTCTCTTCTTCCGTGCTGGAAACTGGAATTACACCACACTTACACTACACGCTTGACTAATTCGATTTTTGCTTGGTGTTCGCTTTTTAATGCCACCTCGTTGTTAGTATTGAGGAAAAAAAACAGGCCACATCAATTACTTGTACGGACTTTGCGAGCCAGAAATTTCAAAGAAATCAGATCCGGGGCCCTCCCTTTTTCTCTTGAACCCCCCCCCCCCCAGGATTCCCACCTTAATACATACCACCACCTACCACCTCTCTATTTTCATAACCCATTCCCTACCTATTCCACAAACGAGCACTGTTACTACTATACCTCGTACCTACATATAAGGCACCCGAGTTGCAGTGCCCGAGTCCTGTTTGAGAGCGGCAGAAACCCCATTTCAATCAACTCGCCCTGACGCCCCGTTTCCCTTTCCGGGTGGCGGCCATAGTTCCGTACATAACTCGTACACCATCTGCCGGTTGGGGAGACATCGCAGCTTCTCAGCACATCCACATCCGACACATCAAAGAAACCACCATGGACTTCGCAGCCCAGTATGCCTTTGGCACTCATCAGGCCTTCCCCGGGGCTTTTATGCCTTTGACGCCTTCACACTCCCAATCAGCTGGCTCGGACGATTTCAGCAATACCTCCCCGCCTGTCAGTTTGTGGTCCCCCACTCCCCCGAAAGCGCAGCTTCTCGTGCCTTAGCGCTCCTTACTTGAGCATTACGAGAGAAGACTAATCACCACAATCGAGCCATTGCGCTCGAAGTGACTTGCTTGTTGACGGTTGACTGATGCTGACTCAATGCCCTTGTTTGCTCCATCTACAGGATAACTTCGCCGACCACTTCAGCGCATTCGACTACTCCCAGCCATTCGGCGGCCATCACCAGCCGGCATTTGGCCAGCATCCGAGCCCTCCCCCGTTGCCGCAACACCAGCATCACCAGGAGCAGCAGCAGCAAATCGGCTCCGGCCGCCAGCCGCACTCTCCTTCCACAAATGGCAGCGTCAACGGCAGCAGCAGCAGCATGCGCGGCGATGGCGGATCCGGATCCGTGACCAAGGCCGAGGCCAACGCCGACGAGCTTCGCGGCAGCGACGACGACGATAACATGACCCCGGCCCAGTCGCGAAGAAAGGCCCAGAACCGAGCTGCGTAGGTTTTTTTTTTCTATTCTGATTCTTCTTCTTTTCCCTCATATTTCCTTTCCTGGCCCTTGCTCCCCTTTTCAGTGCAGCCCCGGCATCTCTTGGAGTAACATCGAAGCCAATGGAGCTGTGGATCGATGTGTCCGGGGATGCATTCAGCACACTGCATTTCGGAATCTTACTAGATACCCATTCCGATTCCCCTGCTTTTACCTCTTGAGCATTTGAAAATCAAAAATAAAAAAGAAAAAAAAGAGAAAAAAGAAACATAATATCCATCCATGGCTTGTGGCTAAGCTACCATTGGGGACCAATTACTTGTTTCTTCTATCCTTTCCACTCAAGCATTGACTGACCTTATTTTTTTTTACTTGCAGTCAAAGAGCATTCCGCGAACGCAAAGAAAAGCATGTCAAGGACCTCGAGTCCAAACTCGCAAGCCTTGAAGCCGCCCAAAAGGAAGCCGCCAATGAAAATGAGCGCCTTCGACGAGATCTGCAGAGAATGTCCACCGAGAACGAGATTCTCCGTGCCACCTCTGCCATGAACCAGAACCAGAATGGCTCTCACTCTCCCGAACCTCTAACAACGGGGCCCATGACTTACACACCTACCGATTTCTACACCAACGTGCTCGAGGGCCACAAGAACAAGTTCCCCTCGCACCGTATAGTCACCTCCGACGATGGCCACAGGCTGCTTGCCGCCGGTGCTGCCTGGGATTTCCTCCTAGAGCACCCGCTGTACAAGCGAGGCCTGGTGGACGTCAGCAAGGTGGCCGAGCACATGAGGCGAATGGCCAAGTGTGACGGACAGGGGCCTGTCTTTTCCGAGGGCGACATCAATTATGCCATTGAGCAGAGTGTCGCCAGTGGCTCCGATGACCTCTTGTAGGCAGATGAGACACGCAGAAAGAAAAGACAGGGGGTGAAGAGCGAGGAGATGAGGAGGTGAGCCGAGACCGGGACGAGGAGGGGAATTGCCTGGAGCCTGATATTCTTGGTCTTTTTTTTGGGCCAGAGAGAGCGAGAGCGAATTGTATCATGACTTTGAAATGTTGCATACGACTTGGCGTATATCTGCGGGGGTTGCTTTTGGGTCTCTATGGACTACACTACACTACACTGAACTGATTTGATTTGATTTTATTCTTCTATCCTCTTGTCTCTTTCCCCGTGGATGCGGTCAAACCCAATCGGCGACTCGGGGCCTGTTCCGGGGCGCTTTACGTCGGACGATCTTCTCCGACCCTATCACGACACTTATTATGCGCGCTGTGCCGCTACTCTGCACATGTACGAGTAAGAGGCGTTCTATTTCCTTTTGCATGAAACAAATCATGTCATGTACGAGTACATGTAGGGAGCACAGATTGCAGCATGTGTTTACCACCATCCATGCTTGAGACTATGTTATTTCGCATTGGTGACTTTCTACGGTCATACTCGCACAAAAAGCAAAAAAACTATACAATATTAAAAAAAAAAAACCGAACATGAAAAAAAAAAAATGACAAAATCAAGAGGCGTCCAAAACCCCTGCGTCCACCGCGTCTGCCTTGGAATATTCCCCCTCACCGGGAGGATGCTCATTGTTTCAGCCGCAGCAAAAAAAGAGAAAAAAGCAAACAAGGACGACAAAGAGATGAGCAAGACAAGACATTTTCAGCCGCACCTGATACCCACTTTTCAAATCCAATTCAGGAGGAGTTTGGCCTGGGCGGTTGCCAGCATTGGAACATATTACTACATGCAACTTATGGCAGGCCATGGGCTGGGCACCTCCGATCACGATCACGACTGAACACAATAACCAGGCAGTGCCACCACGGGGAGAGACAGTACAGAGACGTACGAGCAAGTGAGCACAAGCAAGACGCGTTGAACATCGGCCGATATTCGAGGAATCGCCGACCTGGAGCTTTCGTCCGCTGGCGGATAGACGGACGGGTACTCGGTAGGACCAGGCAGGCTCTGGTGAGATTTGGTCCTGGTTT